AGGTTTTATATATTTTCTTCTATATGAATTTATACAGGATTTTACCTACTTTAAAAAATAACGTAAAATTACTTTATAAAGTACTCAGTTTAACAAAATTCACCTTAACTTGATTATAAGTTGACTTGAAGCAAATCAGTATATGACAAAAAATGAGGCACAACGAAAGCGAATCTTTCGTCTGAAGATGATGTAAAAAAAAGTAAAAGTATATACGCCCATATTGACACGTAATACGTAAGCCTTAGGGTTCAAAATACCTCTTAAATTATTAACTTATGGTTACGTCGTATGTGTCAAATACTTTTACCAAACCGTTTAGACTTTCTAGGAAGGTCGTATGGTGTAATGGCATGGAGTCGTTATTAAACTATAAATTATTTAATTTATTTTAAATACAACATTTATTATTATTAAATAAATGAAAGGGACTTATGTAACTAATTTACACATATTTTTTATTTTATCGATAAGTTATTAAATAAATTCGTAATGTTTACTTTTAGTTTTAAATATAATTTATTATTGCTTCTAGTTGCTTATCCATTTAGCTGAAAAACAAAATAAAAATATAAATTATATTACTTCAATCCAGTAAGGTTTCATAACTAAGGAAACTACAATACTATGATAAATCATAAAATCAAAATTATAAATAAATGTAATAATTAATTTTTAAATAAATATTTTATAATAACAACTCCATGCCTTTAAGTTACGACTCTCCAAATCTCACAACGATGTGTTAAATAAAATTGAAGATTGAATTGTTCACACTTCAATACGGCCGTTGATTTGAAATGTAATTAGCATTGTTATATCATGTATTGTGTAATAAAATAATTGAGAAACACGTAAAAAACATGTGCGAATCTGGATTGAGAAAAACTTAAATTTAAAACACCACAAATAACTCTTTTTGTCAAAAAAGCGACAAATGAACAATCAAAAACGAGTTGGACAAATTATATGATAGTCTGTGGAATTTTAACACACTTTTGTAAATTTAAAATGTTTAGTGAATAATTAATAGTGCCTCGGTATTTTTTTTAAATTATATTTTATGGAAATTGGAAATATTTAAGTACGAATTACTAATAAAATGATGAAATATGAATAATGTTTTTCGATCTTACCGATAGAAAAAGTTAAGTTTATGTTTAAGTTAATTATCAACAAAACACGAATAAAATGACATTTTCTAAAAATGATTCCTAGCTAGATCGATTTATCGCCCCCGAAACCCCTATATACTAAATTTTATGAAAATCGTTGGAGCCGATTCCGAGATTCCAATTATATATATTTATATATATATATATATATAAATAAATATATATAATTAAAGATATAAGATTTTTGTGAAACAAATTGGGCAATAATAGAGTTGTCTTACAACGTTTTGCTTCTAAGATCACACGGAATCTGTGATAATAACAGTACTAAACAACTATTTTGACTCTCTATAAGTCGCAACAATGCATTATCAACTGCTGTGACATCTAGGTAATATTGCTGTTAAACGATAAGCTTAGTTTTTATTTCATTCTATCTAACGTAATACGCGAGTTTACTGGGGCGTCAAAGTCAAGGCTTTAACGCGGTCGACCGTGCGATAACTTTGCCTGTAGGCTAGTTTAAAAATGAATCAATGACTTGGATGCTTCTACTAATCTTAAACATAAACCGTATCGCGGATATAACTTTTGAAAGGGAACCCTTGTTCTACTATTTCGTTTAAATATATCTTTTATCATCGGTTTCTGAGACCGTTATTCTCGTATAAAAATATCATTCCTGTCATAATTTTTGACAAAACAAAGATAATAATATGTTTTAAACGTGATTTTGGTCTTGGCAACCAACGATAAATCGTACAAATGAACAGAAATTTGTAAGTCTTTATGTATAGAAACATCTCGAAAAAATTAAAATCCTTTACTTATATTGTATCGAATCGTTAAAGGAATTTGCTACATCCATGTGGGTGGTCCTTTATATCAATAGACTTGATGCCGGATGTCACGTTCCGACGAATTTACGAACGGTTTGTACGATTAAGCGTTGCTTTGTCAAATCAACGACCTCCTGAACCTAAGTTGATTAAACTCTATTGTATAATGTTTTCAATTTAAATTTCCTAAAAAGAATACGGATTTCTTAAAGAAAATTACCTTTTTACTAAGAGATAGTAATTTGGTCGTAACAAATATTCATTTATCGACCTTTCTCACACATAAAATTGACAGAAAAGCTTTACATTTTATAAAAATAACTCGCACGAAAACGGTAAAAATACAATTGTAGAAATAACATCTTCGTATTATCAATCTTTTTTATCTTGAAACTATTTGAAAAAAGAACGTGTTTACAGATTAAAAATCGGCAGAAGAATATACTTTTTTTTCTGTGCCAATACCTGGGTATGGAAGGGGGGACTTAACAGTGACAGGTGCGTGACTCGATTGATAAAGATTGTGCCACTTTTTTTTACACTCATTGAATACTATTGTATCAAATATAAAGAAAGTTTTATTGCGTTATTTTGGTGAACGAGGTTCCAACAGCTTTTCTTAAACAGTTCCTTAGTGTTTCCCATACTAAAGATACACTAAGGTATGCTCTTAGCTACCATTAAATAAGTTTGAGGGCCCCTTAATCCTATCGATATGCCTTGTTTATATTAAAAGGTTTCAAGCGAGCAAGCAGACAGAATTCGCCGAAAAAGCGAAGCTAACGCTGACCATAGGCATCCGCAATTACAGCGTGCCTACCTTTAACTATAGAAAAAGAATATATCCCCTTCCTATGCGTCTACTGATTCATCAAATTCACTTCTCTTTCCTATCGGTAGGAAGGGCAAGAGGACTATAATATGGACTTCGGCTAGCACACTCATCAGACGAAAGGCAGAGTTACTTCCTCTCTTTGCCAGTCTTCTGTGTGGTCTTTGTTTGACACTGGTGAAGTCGGCCCATTCGTGCAACATATGTTTTTGTTGCTGGCATGTACCATTGTTAAAAGACCTTCTGGAATTTGCAAAATAATGTAACATAACTACAGATGAAAAATTGCTTTATTGCAAATTATAAAAGATTGTTATTGCATATAACAATAAAGTTATATAACGGCTAATGTATTTTGCAAAGTATATAATATCTGACCCCTCTCATCTCTTATTTATGATTACGTAGATTTCGCCTCGGCTGAGCCCAGTTACGACACGTACAGACCTACTATTTATTATTTATGTAAACGGCAACATTAAATTTACATTTCGGTACGTCTGTTGCATAAAGAGGTAAAAGCCGGAAGGAGGTTGAACATATTTTTTTTCGTCATGAACACGTTCACAGGCTCGTGGAGATAAATTTGCTATTGTCTTATTTTTTGTGTGTCTCAGAATGTTACAGAGAAAATGAATGCGATAGTAAATGATTTAGTAAAAAGGAAGCAAAATAATGCAGCAAACAATTTTATAAGTTATAATATTTTAATAGTGGTAGAGCCCGCTTTAACATTTTCGCACGAATTGTCCCGGCTCGCCCGGTGAAATACCACGACCACACAGAAGACAGGCGTCAAGTGGAAGCAATTCCGCGTTTCGTCTGATAAGTGTGCGTCCCGTAGGTCTAATTTAGTACTCTTTTTCTTCCTACCCTTTTTCTTATAAGGAAAGGATGGGAAGTGGAAGTGGACTTACCGGATGAGAGGATGCATGGAAAAGTTTTCTTTCTGTGCATCCTCTCCTCCGTCGATTAAAGGTAGGCAACGCATATACAATTGCGTGTGTCAATGGGCAACGGTCACTTCGCTATTACAGCGATTTCAGGTGGTCGCTCACTCGTTTGCCACCTTATGATATAAAAAAATCAGCTTAATAAGGTTGCAAATTCTTGTAATGTTGTAGTATTTGTAAAGATATTAATAAGCTACGTTTGCATGCATAAAACATGACCGACTTATATATAATATATAAATAATTCCTATGAGACTCCGTGGATCAAATGACATTACATTTAAAATCTGTCAATGCATTTAAGTTTAGGCGATCACAGTGAAACGGACAGACATACAAACCCACATACATACTTATTTACGTATCTACAATATATTCACAGTTAGGCAAAAATTACAAAACCATCGCAACCTTTCATCCAATAAACATAATTATAAATCCCTTAAAACCATGTGCTTGGATTTTTTTAATACGGATGCTCGATAAGAGAAAACTGACCGCTTGACAAGAGTCTTGTTGAGTCAAGTTCCGGTCGCAAATTTCACATCGCGTCGGCACCGTGCCGTCACCGTATCGTCACCGTACCGGCTGACATACTTCGTCCAAATTTTTACTTATTTACGCAACATTGAAAGGTCTACGAAAATGAATTTGTCACCTGTACGATAATTTGGTGCTTTATATATTCGTTACATAGCACACATAATACTCATAAAAAATTACAGGTTAATGTTTAAGTTAATAAAATAATTAAGTATTTACCTAAATTTAATTTTACAGAGTAAACTTAACCTATTCATTTTTGGATAATCATAAACAAATTATTTTAAAGTCTTCCAAAAGAAGCCCACAAAAATAAAGAATACACCAAATTAGCAATATTTAATTTGTTCCATCCTATATAGCCTGTAACTTTAAGATTCCGAGATAATTTTCTAATTAAAATGTGAAAGATTTTACAAACATTTCATTCATAAATTTTTGAAAGTTAATTTGCATTTTAACTATTCTACAAAACAACTAACTTTTAAATTTTATTAGTGGTACGTAAATTTTTGATTGAAGTTACTGTCGACAAATAAATTAATGAAGATTTTGTGCAAAATGATACCAGAGCAATCGTAAAAATAAAGCCCTCATCCGATGAATCGAAGATCACTCGACTTTCACTAAAGAAAGTGGACTCGTCCGTTCAAAGCCGCACCAAAATACAGAACTCGTTAGAGCACAGCACAGATAAAAAAACAAACTTCAAACTCACCCAAAAGATTAGCCTCATTGTATCCGAACACTGCACAGGATTTGAATTAAAAAAAAATGAACCACAAAGCACAGGCGCGAGCGAGCGCGCGTTCCTCACAACTGAGGCAAAGGCTCCGTCGATTCAGCCTCCCCGCCAAAGAAAGTCACCAACCTTCACATTAGTCGATTATGTAAAGTCAAAAAAAAGACACAAGTGCATTATGACCGTACCAATGAGAGAATGTTTGAAAGTATTTTTTTTAAATAAAAGAAATAGGATAAGGTCGTTTGGCTAAACTTATAGTGGGGATGATATAAATTTTACTCATCCTATGAGTCAAATTTATCTATTTGTACTAAGATTTAGGGTAAGGTAATTGCGTAATTTTACGTTAAGAATTTATGGACAGTTTTTCATTTGTTTAATTGAGCTAAAATCGTATAAAATCTTTCGAGTTTAGAATAAAAAGAGTAAGGTCATATATGTGTCATAACCTGTATGTAAATAAATCGTGAGAATAATTAAACGTTTTTAATTAATCTTTAACATTTCGCTAGCTTTTGTAACTGCGAGGTCAATTGACCCATGTAAAGCTCTTGACAACACACTTATATCTAAAAGTAAAATTTCGAAGTCGGCCTCCAATTTTATTAGTGCAATATTTATTTTACTTAGTTCAAATGAGACAATGACTTCGCGTCGACGAAGCAATAATTTTTTCCCGATTTACGCAGAAAAAATATTTTTATATTGTTCTATTTTTTGACAGATTGAGAATTAATTTTTCATTGGAAAAATAGCGTTCAACCCAAATTGGTTTGGGTTAAATTGAACTCAGATTACAAGCTAATCTTTCCATTGCTAAAAAAGCTTTCTATTGGCGAAAATTTTTTATGATCAGTTCAGTTGTTTTTATGTTAATTTGAAAAAAAAAACAGTAAATATGAGTGTGCTATTTAGTAAACAACAACAATTAACCTTTAAGAACTTAATTACTAAATTACTTCGTCTCGTACTTTTAACAAGTTAGTTTTAGCAAGCAATTTATTCCAATAGTCAACTTATAAAATTTAAAATGGATAAATAGATACATCTAATTATTAATTTGAATCGGATATCTTAAAAGATTTTGCAATATCATTTCCGATAAATTAAGAAGCAAACTATCTAGTGAGTTATAAAAATTATGTCAAGGATCAACAGAGAGATCGTTTCGAAACAGATCTCAAATGATAGAAGCCTAATGCGGTCTTAAACAAAATCGCTTAATTGTATAAGACGTAATGTAGGGTGACCAAGCTAGTACAAAGGTATACAAAATATTTTACAATCATTATTTTGCGTACAATAGTATTATACTATTTTAAAGTTTATAAAGATGAGGATACTACCAAACCTATAGTCGGAGAGACACATTAAAGAAAGAAAAAGAAAATTATTTTGATGACTTATAAGTACATTTCTGAACACAACACCCTGTACAACAATAATCCATGATTTGTTAGTAAGATATTATAGAACTTTGATCTTCTAATCAGTGTTTTCATACAAAAATAATATATTTGCTCTTTTACTGCAAAAAAAAAAAACTTTAAATAATCCCCATAAATAACAAAAGACACTATTAACAACTAAATGTCATACGTAAACAGATATTCAACAAATAATTTTAATATTATGATCATGGTCACCCTTAACAATACTTTGCAAACAATCAATTTTGTGCAGAGAAGTAACGAGATTGTCCTTACTCCACATAATATTGCTTGATGTCTGTAATTCACAAAACAATGAAGTGCTCTACCGTGTCGAAATACACATATAATTTAAAGATAGATTTAATTCGCCACAGCCGTATTGATGTCATTTTATTATTATTCAAGCACGTATTGTTAATTTATATTTTGTATATTGAGTTACAAAATTTACTCTGATTAAAAAGCTTAGTTATAATTCAACCAACCCGCACTTGGCTAGCGTAGTTGACTATGGCCTGGTCACCCCTAACTTAGGGTAGGCTCCGAGGCCCTCACTGGGGACGTATAGTGAGCTGATAATGAAAAAAGCTTATGATAGTCTTGTCTTTAGCGTTCCGCTGTCGAACTGTTGTATTTAAAACCCTTCTAAGATTTTATCTACTTAATTAATTATAAAATCATTAAGAGATGTATTTGATACGAATGTGTTTGCGGATTTGGGTCTATTAACCTACATTAGTTCGCTTTCACTCAGGAATCGAACCATAGACCTACAATGCAAATGACTCGAGCCTACACTGGTCTCTATACATAATAAAATAGAAACATTTAGATTTATTTCCAAACCAGCTGTCACCCGCGACTCCGTCCGCGTGGATATATAAAAATCTTAATAAGTGTAGCCCGCCCGTCCATCCATCCACATCACACCACAAGGCATAATTTCGAAAAAATAATAATAAATAGTATCCTATGTCCGTCTCCTGGCTCTAAGTTACCTCCTCACCAATTTTCAGCCATATTGGTAGAGCCGTTCTTGAGTTATAAATAGTGTAACTAACATGACTTTCTTTTATATATATACGAGTATGTAGAAGATATGTAAGCCAGGGATTTCATTTATCGTTTTTTATTTTTTGTTTCTTCAGTAAAAACAATTCTATCAAATATTTATTGTTGATGTGTACCACAAAATTTAGTACCATTGTAAAATCCTTCTTACTGCTGTCCCTTAGCGAAGAGTATGAGAAATGCAAGAGGTATACTTAAGTGAAGATTAAAATATGTTAATTGCATTTAATCTGATTAGAGGCAAATCGAACTCGTTTATATAAATTGTACAAGACCTTGTTAAAAACGTGGAACGGATGTGAATTTAGCGAAGAGGGTAAATCTGGACAGGGGAACGTATTTGTTCTGTACTTACTCTTTCCTGCCCACTAAATGTTGGCAACGCATCTGTAACCTTCTAACTTTTTGCAGTAACTAATCGTTTGTCATTTTTTAGTTGGTTAAAACTATAAAAAAGTTCTTGTTTACAATTTTGAGCTTAATGGTACAAGTTTATGTTGAAAAATTTTGTACACAAGTGTACTGGCAGTCCTGGTATTCGGTGATCATTAAATGGTGTTAGTTTGGTTGAGTCTAGTCACGTCCTTGCATTGCAGGTGCTTTGAACTCCAACGAGTGCAGTGGATCATTGAAGAAGGGTCCGCTCGAAGCGCATAATTACTATCTAACTACCTATCTGCTTGTCATAGATTAACATATAGGCATTTGGAAAAGGTGGTTTTGAAGACTATTGTCGTCTCTTTCATTCTAATTGAAAAAACTGAGATACAAAATGTTTTTATACACGTATTTCCATAGTGTAAATGCTTAAATGATGATTACAATTATTGTATTTCACATCTTTCGGACTTCGTTTAAATACATTTATACTCTTTGATGCAATATTTTAATAAAGACGCTTACAAATTACATTTTAAAATTGTAATTCGAATCGTGATTTCGCATTTTAATTTAATAAATTCATCTCAATGATAGATTTCGACATTTACGTTCCGTTTAAAGACTTTGCTGGGAATTTAATAACGATTTAAAATTAATAAAAAGATAGTATTCAAGATTTCCCTCCCCCGCCATGTCAACTTCCCTTTTCCATCCTTTCTTTATTAAAAAAGGGTGGGATGGCGTAGAGTTAGAGCAAGAATTAGCCTCTGGTGCACACAATTATCAGACGAAACGCAGTATTACGTTTAGTTTGTGGTACTGTCCGATCCGGTAATAATAACGAAGTAACGGCCCGAGCCGAAGTTCCTGTGGGAGTCCTCGAGCTTAGTTACTCTTAAACGAGGTTTAGGCTAAGTGCCATCTGCGCTCGGCCACTTCAAGCCCGGTGAAGCTGTAAATGCCTCCTCAAGGCAACCAACAGCAGTTCAGTCACGAAAAAAAAACAAAAATAAATCGTGGTACTGTATCAAGCCGGCAGCTGCTAATGTTGTTGACCATAATAATGTCAGCAATATTAAAGCTAGATATCACAACAAAGTTACACAATAAAATTATTCAATGTTATTCACGATTTTTCATTTTATCTCATACTTGTAATTTGTTACGCGGTTAATGAAATGCTGTAATTTGTTCGGCATGCACCAACATTTGCTGCATTATGTTGGTCAACTAATGGACCTTGTACATGAGTTAGACATGCTTAAAAAGCATTAAACACAATAATTATTAATTAAAAAAAGCAATTCTAATAGACAGAACTTATAAATTATCGTTTTTTAAATTTCTTTGTTAATTTTAGTAGTAGAAGGTCTTGAAATTTTACATATACAGTTATTTTTTAATAATATAATGAGTTTTACGTCTTGGTAAAAACAATTAGACAACAATGCAATATTGCAATATTCGTTACATTCACCAGACTAAGAACATCGTTATGCAACATGTCTACCCACGATTCTCGACTCCTCATTACATTTAGACGGACTTACAAAGGAATCATGATAATTTTTAAAATGCCTATTATCAAATAATTTCAATCTGGTATTAATTGGCTACGTATAAAAATGCACAAGCTGTTTTTAAGTAAGATTTATATTTGTGTAAACTAGCTTGGTGTGTTGTGTATACATTGGTCGGTTTTCTACATCATTTTTTTAAATCATCTTTAAACTTAAATAAGAATTTATAGACTATATGTTGTGTAGTCTATCATCATCATCATCAGCCTATGCTAGTCCACTGCTGGACATAGGCCTCTCCCAGGGCATTCAGGTATTGGGCCGCGGACGAGAGCGAAAGCGTGCCCGGGGTCCCGTCCCGATGCGTTGGAGGAACAGAGAGGTTTAGTAGGTATGTCTCCACTATGGAGGAGAATCCCACATAACTACCGCGTCCACCCCGGGGCGCGGAGTATGCATAAAGCAATCCTCTCTGGAAAAAAGGGCATTCAGGTATTCGATAACTGAGTTGTATTCAAGTGATCATTTTCATATGCTTACGAACGGTATAGTCACGGTTCACTTTCTCAGAATTGCATTAATATTCACCTGATATCAATAGTATGACATGTAGAATATGAAATATATAGACGCAATATATTACATAATACTCAGTCATACAGAAATACTTGGTATACAAACAAATTGAATCAATAAC